TATATATATATTTACACATACAATGTTGAATTCTGTGCTGATTTTTGCTCACTAGTGCTAACATCTAAAAAAACACAGCAAGTCTGTGTTTGATTACAGATGCAGTAAATGCAGTAATACTGTGAGATATTGTTACAACTTAAAGTGCCCCTTTTATGGATTTATGAAAATTACCTTTAATGCAGTGTGTAACACTGAAACGAGTCACTTTTAAAACAAATCCCAAGCCATGTTGACGTCAACATTAGCATATTGCCCGCCCACTTGTTGCGCGCGCAGACCTGGGAAAACTTGAACCTCCCTCCCTCAAACACTGTAGTGGATTCCTGTGGATAGCATCATGCCATTACTGGCAAAGGACGAGGTTGTGAAGAATCAATTAAATCTTTCTTTGCCAGTAGGTGCCGCTTTTGGAGCGGTAAAAATAGTGGTTTCCCCGGTAACGCTGTACACAAAGCAGCACTGCGCTCACAAAAGCTCCTTTATCAGGCATTACAGGCATGATGAAATGAAAGTGAGGCCAATCAGATCAATCACCACAGATTAGTGCCACGCAAAGGAGGGGTTTGGAAAAATGAGTCGTTCAGCAAGTAAGGTAAAAATAAATGCATATTATAAGACAGTAAAAGTGTTTTTTGACCTTGCATGCATGTCAACCTGTTGTTGGGGACTCCCAAAATCAAAATATGAACTTTTCATTACCCATAATAGGGATACTTTAAAGTAATTGTATTCTATTTTAATATTTATTCATTTCTTTCTGTGATCTCAATGCTGAATTTTACTCTAGTTTTCATTGTCATATGATCCTTTAGAAATCATTCTCATATGCTGATTTTTTGCTTAAGAAACATTTCATATTATTATCAATGTTGAAAGCAATTATAATTAATATTTTGTCGAAACCACGATAAAAAAAGATTCCAGGATTGTTTGATGAATAAAAAGTTAAAAAGAACAGGATATATATAAATGTAAATATTTTGTAACATTGTAAAAGTCTTTAGTGTCACTTTTGATCAATTTAATGCATCCTTGCTGAATAAAAGTATTAATTAAAAAAAAAAAAAAAATGAATGTGAAATGAAAATGAACTTTGCTAAATGAATCAAACTCTATATTTAGCATGACCTCATTCCATATTTTATGGGTGCTGAATTGTAGAGTTGGCTCTGAATTTAATAAAACAATTTCAACCATGTTGTTCTGTCAGCTAACAAATTTTGATTTTGTACTAATGATTTTAGTACACTAGCACTAGTGCAATCATGAAAAAGTAACTGTACAGCCCTGTCAAATCTGACCAGACAGCTCTTATAACCTACTTTGCTATTTTAATAAATCTCTTAATTTAGCATGATCTCATTCCATATTTCTTATGGGTGCCAAAATGTAGAGTTGGCTAATAAGACCTGTTCTTGTGGTAATCATCCTCTACATATGAGAATGGTTACTGACCTTAACAGCAATTTTGAAGGACACTTCTCTGATGGTCTTCAGAGGAGGGTACAGTCTGCCCTCAGCCAGATGCTCCTCAGTAACCATGTCAGAAATCGCCTAGAGTGAAATCAAAGCCCTAAATTTAGCTTTTGCACTGTAAATACATTCGCAATCAAGAGTTTTTGCACGGAACACACATTCACTTTTACTATTGTTGGCTCTTGACTCTTCATGCTCGTTTACCTCTGCTGTAGTAAGGAAAATGTCATCTGAGATGTGACGAACACCACAGGCGATGACTCCCAATGCTACTCCGGGAAACACATAAGCGTTGTTTCCCTGGCCAGGGTAGAAGCTGCGCCCATCTGCCAAAGTGACCTTTTTAAAAGGGCTTCCGCTGGCAAATATGCCCCTTCCCTGTGATACACATACATGCCCTTTAAACTGATGTGAAAAATGTGCTTTATGGGATGCTTTATATGATTGTTTTAGTAAAGATCCCTTTGACCAGTTTCA